GTTTCAGGATTGTTGATTCTCTGTTTGGCTTAGTTTTTCGGATCTTTGTTGTGGAGGGACGGCGTGGTGCTTCTGCCTAGACCGCCATCTTGCCGGAGTCCTCTACACAAGGTAATTCTTAAGCCTTTCAATGAAGTAGTGGGTTGAAATTCTATCTGTAAAGACTTAAGGAGTAAGTAGTTATAAAAAATTGTATGAGTGAGTCAGGACTATTGCTAAAGAAAGAAATCCACTTTCAAACCTGGTGGAAGCAGATGATTAAAACATATGCTGTTTTCATGAATCATCTTCATCTTTCACTCTGGGATTCAGTTTTCCCTTTGTCTTTAACAGAGTCAGTGGGCTCCTTACCTTACCTCTCATTTATTGTTTTCTCCTCATGAAAATTACACATTTGCAGCCGTTTCTTAGCTGCAGTCAGAACAATATTGAGCAAGTTCCATCAAAAACAATGGTAATTTGTGAGCCATGCAGTACGGACAATGCCAAGATACAAAAAGACAATCCTAAAGTATTTCAAGCTCTTAACTTAGACCTCACGTCTCCTTGTGCTTAATTCAACTCAGAGCATAGCATAGGGCCCTCAGGAACCTTCTGCCCCCTAATAAGGTCAGGATTTTATCTGAATTAAGGATCCTTGGTGGCACAGTGGTTAAAGCGCTCAGCTGCTAACCAGAAGGTCATTGGTTTGAATGCACCAGCTGCTCCACGGGAGAAAGATGTGGCAGTCCACTTCTGTAAAGATTTACAGCCTTGGAAACCCTATGGGGCAGTTTACTCTAATCTACAGGGTTGCTATGAGTTGATTTGACAACAACGGGCCCACTTCCTGGCGCTTTCCGGATTTCCTAAACAACGACAAACACAACCAATTGCTATATAGTCGATTCTCACTCATAGCGACCCTATAGAGGACAGTAAACCTCGATAACAGAATTAGGATAATATGAAAGAAGAAGTATTGAGGGCAAGGCAGTGACTCAACAACTATAAAAGATTTGTTATGAGCTGGTGGTGTAGTGGTTAAGAGCTACAGCTGCTAACCAAAAGGTCGGCATTTTGAATCTGCCAGGCACTCCTTGGATACTCTATGGGACAGCTCTACCCTGTCGTATAGGGTCGCTATGAGCTGAAATGGACTCGCCGGCAAAGGGTTCGGTTTTTTTCAGGTGCTAGCGGGGAGGGTACATGTGTTTGACACAATTTCTCAACTAAGACCTTCAAATTTTACTTTTGGAAGAGAACTTAGAGACCACTTGCTGTCGGGTGTTGGGGGAGGAGGAAAAGTTCATTAGATCATTTTAATGAAATTAATTTTTTTTCAGGTTTGGAGGATAGTTTGAGAATCCTGATGAGGAAGCATCATGCTAGTTTTTAGACCTAACTTCCTGAAATAATTCACATAGTCACAGTGGACCTGGTTCCTCATTTATAGACCAGTAAGTGAGGGGAAGGGTGTGTCTTGGTCACTTATTAATACCCAGCACCTAACCCACGACCTAGTACTTAATACAGAATACACAATGAGGAGGGAACCTCTCATGCATTGCCCACTTGTTTCTGGCTGGATGCCGATCTGCTTGAACTAAGTATGTAAGTATCAAAGCAAATATTACCTCATAATTTTATAGAAACGGAGGGATAGAAAGATTTAATCACTTGTCCAAAATCACAGCATTAAAAGTAAACCGAACCCAAGCAGTTTTGATCTCAGACCCTCTTGTTGAACCACTTCACATAATGCTTCTCTGTGTTGCTGAGTTAATAATTATAAAAATAACAGCTTTTCTTTATTAATTGTTTTTTAAGAGCTAGATAAGTTCCATGTCATATTCAGTCCATGCAAAATAAGTAGTTTTGTCTTCACGCTATAGTGAAAACTGGGAGCTGAGGCAGGGTAAGTCTGCCAAAATTCACTAAGTAAGGCATAGAAGTGGGATGCAAAGTTTAAATTGTGTGTAACTTTAAACTCTACCATTTCTACCCTTCCACATTGCTTCTGTAAGGAAGGAAGATGAAGGGAGAAGGAAGGGAGAGATTTACAAGGTTCTCTGCTGACCCACTGTACCCAGGTAGTTCTCCTCATCCAGATGCCAGTGTCTGATTTTGACAAAGGAGATACATGTTCCCTTCCCCTTCCACTTTGCCATAATCTTTTTAAACATCTCTGGGTAGGTAGCACTTTAATTTGCTTTGGAAATTATAATATGTTTGGGTCTTTTGATTTTTTTGATTACTACTGTAACTGAACATATATATAATTATTTTTCACTGTATTCTCATCTCATAGTACATAGTACAAAGACTTCCTTGAGGCATAGGAGCCTGAGTTAGTGTTGTAATGAGAAGTAAAATGCATTTAGTGCCTACTATGTGGCAGGCGTTGTGCTAAATTCTTTAGAGGTGTTATTCATTAAGTTTAATTTATTCCTCAGTAGAAGCTTAGGATGTATGTATTATCATCCCCATTTTAAAGATGAATAACCACAGCTTAAAGACTTTTAATGACATTTTTAACACCAGTTCTTCAAACTACAGTACCTGGACAGTTGGTTCATTTTGAGTTTCTTCAAATGATGAGACAGTGTGTTAAAAGACGAAGGTTAAAATAAGTTCATTTGCCATCTAAGATACTCCACTGGTCTCACCCCTTTGGGAGCAAGGGAGAATGAGAGAACAGGATACAAGAAAAAGATTAGTCCAAAGGACTAATGGACCACAGCTACCAAGGCCTCCACCAGACTGAGTCCAGTACAGCTAGATGGTGCCCGGCTACCACCACTGACTGCTCTGACCGGGATCACAACAGAGGGCTCTGGACAGAGCTGGAGCAGGCTGTAGAACAAAATTCTAACTCACAAAAAAAAAAAAGACCAGATGTACTGACCTAAAGGAGACTGGAGAAACCCCGTGAGTATGGCCCCCAGACACCCTTTTAGCTCAGTGGTGAGGTCACTTCCGAGGTTCACTGTTCAGCCGGGGAGTGGACAGCCCCATAAAACCAAATGGGACTAATGAGGCACAGCAGTCTAGGGACAAAGGCTAGAAGGCAGAAAGGGACAGGAAAGCTGGTGATAGGGAACCCAAGGTTGAGTAAGGATAGTGTTGATGTGTTGTGAAGTTGTTAACCATTGTCATAGGGCAACATGTGTACTGTCTAATGAGAAACTATTTTGTTCTGTAAACCTTCATCTTAAGTGAGAATAGGAGCACAATCGGAAGAGTGTAGTCGGTGTCACTGAAATGTGCATGTAGAAATTTTTAAAATGATGTATCTTTGGCTATGTATATTTTCACCAAAAAAAAAAAAAAGGTCGAGAAGAGAGAGGATTGACATGTCATGGGGTTGATAACCAATGTCATAAAACAATATGTGTACTACTCTTTCATGAGAAACTATTTGTTCTGTTAACCTTCACCTGAAGTACAATTAAAAAAAAGAAAAAAGAGAAGAAGTAAACAACAACAAAAAAGTTCATTCACAGTTCTGTATTCTCTAAAGTGGACTACAGCACTCTGGTACTGTGGGTCTTTCCCTTTTCCCTCCCTGCCTTTGACAGTCTGATAATTTTATAAATGATCAATCTCTGGCCCTCTACCACTTTTTCTTACAAGGGAAAGAATTTTTGGTGTCGATTCAGGACAAGTGAAACTATTTTTACTGAGCACATGTCAGATTGAAAGTGAAAGCAGAGACTGGCTCTTAGTTTCTGGGAAATGGACCAGATGCAAAGAAAACAGCTTCATTGGGTTCTAGTATAACAAGTAGTAAGCAGTTATCTGTGTTTTATTTTTATGTCAGGGCTGCTTGAATAATTCTCTAGGGGGTTTTTCTTTTCAACTCTGCATGAAAGGAAGCTAAATTTCCCTACTTTCTAGTTTTCTTGGAGTTGTTGTCTTGCACATCCTTATATCCTTCCAATAGATGATCACGGGTTAAATTATTTCACTGTTTAGTATTATTACATTAAAAAATCCATATATGTATATATGTTTAGAAAAAGGCTTGGAAGAATTTGTATCACCATATTAAGTCCACTTAATTCACACTAATAGACGAGAACAGTTTTCTGGAACACTTTTGCATTCATTCATTCTGTCCAGATTTTATAGAGGACCAGCCATGTGCTGTAGCTATTGTGAGAGTCATACGTCAACATTAAGCTGGATACAGCAGTTAAAGGAAGAAATGAGAGAAAGAAAAAGAACGCTGCTCAATGCATTGCACAGATTGAGCTGTATGAGGCACAAATGTGAAATAACGGCTTTCAATCTGCCACATCACTTACTCTTTTTCAACCCTTGATCACAACTTTGGCAGGTCCTAGAGCTTTCTGATCTTTTCAGATGTAAAAATTCCAGTCAAGGCCAATTGAATCTAGTTTCAAAGACCATAGCGTCTCCTCTCCCAAGCTCAGACTTGATCAGTCAGACTGGAGGTTAGGGGTGGCGGTGGGGTCTGCCCTTTTACTTTCTTCCTTCCCCTTCACTTTTGGGATTTCTTTTTTCTTCTTGCAAAATACTGGAGATGGTTAGAAATCTTCTTTCTTAGCTTATCTTCTGATTCATCTGACCAAGTTTGCTCTGAGAAAATCACCTCTAGCACACTGTGAGGGTGTGATTCTCCACATCCTCTCCGAAACCAGGGGTTATTCTTTCATGCGTTGGTTAAACTGGTGAGGAAGATGATAGCTTGTCTTTTCACCAAATAATATCTTTTTTACAAGTTTTTTCGAACATCTTTTAATATTTTTACTGTTCATATGCAATTCTTAAGATCTGTGCTAAAATATTTTGCCCAAGTGGCCTCTAGGAACAGAGAAATTTAAAAACCCTCTTCTATAATTATTTACACACACAAGGGGACAGACAAAGCAAAGATGACAAGTAGAGTGATGGAGAGAAACTGATGTTCAGAAAGATTGTTGTTGACTGTCTCTGAAGTCTGAAAACCAAGTCACTTTATCATTAAGATGTTAATGAGCTTCATTTACATATTTCAATTATACATATTCTTTCCTATATGTACTATATATTTATGTGCGTGTACATATATATGTACTTATTATTTTCTATATAAATAAAATAAAGTTTCTTTTGCTGCTGTATCATTATGGTAAAACAGCTGGGTAGGTTTCTATAATATTTGGAGCGTATATCTCTTAAAGATTAGGTACGTATCTCTTAAATATGGTCTAAATGACACTTACTCTGGCAACCCTGGAGGACATCTCTACAAGGTAGTCAGTCAATGTTCAGGGGTCTAAAATTGCATTATAAGGACAGGTATGTGATCCAGAAGGACGTGTCACATAAATCAATACATATTGGATCAAGAAAACAAAGAATGCCTGCAAATATGGTCCTGAATTTTAGAGTCCTATGAACATGCTCTGAATTTCAGGTGTGGACTGTGTTTATATGAAGCTGCTTTTTACATAAAGAACTCCATTCTGTGTGCTCTAGGGGCACAACCGCAGGGCTTTGTTTATTCAACTGGGGTTCTTGATTCTCTTATACAATGGAGGCAAGTTAGAAAGGCCATAGACAATATGTGTGGGTGTAGAGAGAATGTCCTGTGTTTATGGCATTATGCTAGGTGCTGAGGGATATATAAAGATTGTTTAGACATAATCGCTACCCTAAATAAGATCTACTCTACTGAGTGAGATGGACTTACACCCAAACAATAAAAGTAAAGGAATGGAGAGGACAGGCGGAAGGAGCACTGAATACTGAAGCAGTCAGCCTTAAGACCAGACAATGGAAAATTTGAGTCTTTTACCCAAGAAGAATTTATTTTGATGTCAGTTATCTAAAATAAATCAAAATTTAATTTTCTTGAATAGCTAGACAGTTGTTCTTATTCATATTCAAATTTGTTTCTCCATCATGCATTTTTTTCTTTTTCTGTTTATTCATATTGAATAAACTCAGTACCTCACTGTAAAATGATGATAATTTATACTTCGATTTCATATCTGATACTGGAATTCTTTCTCAATACATTGTTTTGACTCCTCTTACCAATCTGAGAGACAATTAGGATCGCTTGCTAAAGATCCTCCAGAATTTAAAGACTGTATTTTAATACATCAGGCAAGTATAAACTGATTTATACATAATTAATTAATTTATAGACATTTAATATTTATATTAATTTAAATATAGATATTTATAATTGTAGATTTTTATAGACATTTGTAGATAATTTGAAAGCATATTCCCTTCACATTTTGACCCTGAGGAAAGACATAATTGTAAAAAATACGAACACGTCCCCTCTTGCATGAAAACTGTCTTTGAATTTATCTCAATCATTCAATCAAGAGATTCCTGCTGGGTTTGTGTTTTGTTGGCAAGCAAAAGGCTATAATAGGGAAGGCTGGCCTCTCCTAATCCATCATCCTATCAAATATATCCAAAGAAATGTATACATTGATTGACAGACTTGTGACCTCTTCTGGAGTCAGGAGTACTAGGGAAAGGCCACATGATGGTGAGGAATTGTCCTGAAGAGAGAACTCAAAAGAGATGATAAGACCAAGACTCCTGATTGTATGTTAGAAGAAGAAAAAAATAGTGGGCTACAT